TCTTCAAACATTATATTCATTACATGTATTTTTGTTTTTTGTATGTCGCGTTTTATTTGTCACTCGCTTAGATCATCATCATCATCATTATCATCATCATCATCATCATCATCATCATCATCATCATCATCATCATCATCATCATCATCATCATCATCATCATCATCATCATCATCATCGCCCTGTTATTCACGTAGTAATATATCGTGGTTTTTGTAATGTCTTCTTTATTTTATTTCTTTTTTTTTTCGTTTATTTTTTATTTTTTTATCTTTTTCACCTTTTCCTTTTATTTTGGATATGAGAAGAAGAGCGTGCATTCCTTATGCATATCATTTTACGAATATGATCATGTATTTTTTGGTGTGCCTTGTGTGTAATATTTTTATGTATAATATGTAATATGTGTGTATATCTCTGTGTATGTATGTGTGTGTATTATTCAATGTACGCGTGTATTTATTTGTATGGGATTATGTATATGTATAATACGTGGACTTTGTTTCGACTGTAATAATATATATATATATATATATATATATCGTTTTGTTGCGAAACTATTTTACTTGACTAACGGTAAAGCTGTCGTTCGAAAAGTTTATCGCGTATACACATTGACGAGATATAAATACCATACATCTTCGTCGTTTATCTGCAATTTTCTTTTTATTGTTACTTTTTTTTAAATATTTTTGTATATTTTCCTTTTTTTTGCATCATTTTTTGCGCGTTCCTTCATACAAACGATACGTGCCAAAGTTTGAATATACATACTTACATACATACTTACATATATACATACATACATACATGGCTTGATTTACAAATAAATGTAGTTTTATTGTAACAAACATTTTACTTCTAACAACACTTATTTATCAATCAATTCATTACACACATATATATATATATATATATATGTATATATGTAAGTATGTATAGCTTTATATATATATATATATTTTTTTTTTTAAATATATGGTATTATTATTATAATCTTATTTAATATTCCGTAAAACACGTACGATCGTTCGTGGTCCGAAAGAAGAGAAGAAAATCATAGCACGCGCGAAAGAGGCCGAAAATGGTGCGCCCCTATGAAATTTATTTATTTATTTTGGGTATCCTGTGTGTATGAATGTGAATATGTACGTGACGTCGTACACTTAACATTTTTTTGTTGTTGGTGTATTATTTATGGGTATTAAGTATATACGTGTGAGTTATGTGTGATATGTGCGTGCGTGTGTACGTGTGTGTTGTGTGTCATTGCGACTACAATTTGACGCTTTCGAATACGCGTTTTTCCTTTCTTTCTTTCTATCGTTCTTTCTTTCTTTCTTTCTTTCTTTCTTTCTTTCTTTCTTTCAATCAATCACAATCAACCTTTCTTTCTTACTTTTCTTACAACTGGCATTATTTCATTCCACATTATGTAATAATAATTACACCTTAAATTTATATTTTAAATAACATTATTCTCACTATTTAATCGTCTCGCTCTTATAGGAAATTTGTTAATGTAATTTGATTTTTTCCCCATTAACATAACAATGTTATTTTTTAAAAACGACACTATCGAAGATATTTAGTTAATACATTAACGAATTTCCGATACCAACGAGAATTTTCATTATCAATTCTTTCTTCTTCTTCTTCTTATTCATTTTTATTTTTTATTTTTTTTTTTATTTTATACAGCCAATCGAGATAATATAATTTTTTTTTCTTTCTTTTTTTTTTTTACTTTAGAGATCGTTTTTGTACCGATCTAATTATGTAATTGCACATCTAATTTGTGTAATTTTAATTCTTTTTTTTTATCTTTCCGCCTATCTTTTTACTCTCACTCTCTCTCTTTTTCTCTCTCTTTCTCTCTCACTCTCTCGCTCTCTCCCTCTTTCGATAAGGCTACAAGTTAGACAAGTTTTCGCTTTACAATTTATTTTTTTTTTCTCGCAAGAATACTGGTCTATATCAGTCTCATTTTGTTCGTTCAGTTTGGTCGTGTCTCTCCTCTTTTTTTTTATATCTCGTTTTGTTTTTCCCATTTTATTCTTTCGCCATTTATTTTTTTTTTTGTATTCGTGAATTTTTTTGTCAATATTTTTTATAAACGTATCATCATCAACGATCTCGACCTATATATCTTTCTTGATCTTTTTTTTATTATTTTATATATAGATATACATAAACACACATATATATATATATATATATATATATATATATATATATACATGTACAAAGATAATAAATTTTTTCGCGAAATATTCAATGTGGTTTTTTTTGCGAAAGATCGCGAAAAAGGGCATTTTTTTTTTATAAAAAAAAAGAGAAAGCGTAAGATAACAATAATCGAGAACTCGTTTTTTTTTTTACTATAACGACGACGACGACGACCAAACTCCGCTTATAAATGTTTTTAAATGCCAGTTGTATGCTATTTCGGAGACGACAATGTTTTTTACAAGAAGAAACGTGCGTTTTCTGTCCGATTTATTAAATATTATTATTATTATTTTTTCTTTTTGTTTTTGTTCAATTTATCTCTCAGAGAATAAAAAAGGAAAAAAAGAAAAAAGAAAGACAAGGACATAAATTGCAAATTCGAGCTGACATTACATACATATATATTATCAGTAATAATAATAATAATTATTATTTTTTTTTATAACAAAATGATCGACGCTTAAAACGCACGTTTCTTCGTTTCGTCTCGTATCGTACGAGTGTCTTTCGATAAAAGTAACCCCCAATCGATTCACGAATGAAACTCGAGGGATTACTTTTTTTTTTCCTTAACGATTAATATTAATTATTAATCGTACATATATCGCATTTATTTTCTTTTTTCTTTATTTATTTTTTTTTTCATTTATCATTTTTCATTCGAAAGAAGAAAATACGATCTCGTTCGTTCTCTAACCAATGGTTTTTATTATCGATCAATCGCATCGAATCGTTATATAACATATTTCAAATAGTTTAATAACCTCACAACCATTTTGACAACAATGAAACTTCAACAAAAAGAGTGTCCCTCTATTATGACAAAAATCTGTAAAAAATTGCGTCACCGATTGCGAGCCGATTCCTGTCTCTAATTGTAAATAAGCACGTTCTTTATTTTATTTTTATTTTATTTTATTTTATTTTATTTTATTTTATTTTATTTTACTTAATTATTATCCTCTTCTTACATAATAAATCCTTATTTTCTTTTTTATATTTTTTTTTTCTCTATTCTTTGATCGTGGACGCTGGTGTGGTTTGTATCCACGCGCGCGATTTCGAAAGCGCGATCGATCTTCTATCGATCTATCGATCTTCGGAAGCGGAATCAAACTCGCCGGTCGACGTATTATATATCACATGTTTCGAAGCAACGAACCACGTTCCAAGATCATTATTATTATTTTTTTTTTTTATTTATTTATTTATTTTCGTTGCTGCCATTCTTTCTCGAGTCCTTTTTTCAAAATGACTCTTATCTTTCACACAAACTTTCTGTCGCATTCACGTATATCCATTCACCATACACAAATACGTTCGTTTTATCTATTAATCTATCGTCTTTCTTTCTCACTCATTCATTCTCACACATTTTCTTTCTTTCTTTCTTTCTTTCTTTCTTTTCAGCGCATTTCATGTTACAGCCCTTGTTTTTTCTTCATCGAAAATTTTCGAGCATCGAAC